CACATGTGCATATATACACATGTCTGGGCATATACAAAAACACACGTACACACACACACACACACACACTCAAAAAAGAACAAAAAAAAAGCCCAGTTGTGCTTTGACTTATGGATTAGATCTCTAGCACAAAATTTCCAGATCTTTAGAAAGAACAAACTTGTTTAACTCTAGGGCTTGGTAACTTAGTTGATAGCATCTCTACTTACTGTGGTTACAGACAAATTCCTATTTGGCAATGCTGTTGTTAAAACAAACATAATGTTTGGGTACTAGAAACACAGGAGTCAAAAGGTCACCTATGAGTTTGCCCCTTCCTCCTCTAGACCTCACCTCCAAGAAGAATGTCAAGGTAAATGCTGGTATAAACACTGGAACTGCCAGATTCTACTTGATTTAGACTTTGAGAGCCTTTTTCTAAGTCTGATTGTATAACCTTCACAATGGCACTATAGAACCCCCCCCCCACACACACACCTCTCCAATGTGAAGTAGGGGAAATACGGTTTCTTTTGTTGTTGTTCCCAATACGGGAGCTTGAACTCAGGGTCTGGGTGCTGACCCTGAGCTGTTTTTTACTCGTTAGTTCTCTTCCACTTAAGCCACAGCTTTACTCCAGCTGGTTTTTAGTGGCTAATTGGAGACAATAGTCTCAGGCTGGCTTTGAACTGCAATCTTCAGATCTCGTCCTTTGAGTAGCTAGGATTACAGGTATGAGCCATTGGCACCTAGCTAAGGAAAGAATATACTGAGCGATTATTGTGGTCCAGCATCATTCAGCTAGCCCCCAGCAGTCACTATAGCCTTCTTGGCTTTCTATAATCATGGTGCCCTAGTTAAAGAAAAGAGCAGGAAGAAAAGAGAAAGGAAAAATGAATAGATGAGTTGTGGTGGTTAGAAGTTCATATAAGCTAGGTATGATTTATAAAAATAAATATTTTAAATATTTACAAGGTTGGGCTGGGAAGGTGGCTCAGTGGTAGAGTGCTTGCCTTGCGTGCATGAGGCCCTGGGTTCGATTCCTCAGCACCACATAAGCAGAAAAAAAAGCCGGAAGTGGCGCTGTGCCTCAAATGGTAGAGTGCTAGCCTTGAGCTGAAGAGCTGAGGGGCAGCGTCCAGGCCCAGAGTTCAGGCTCCACGACCGGACCCTTCCCCCAAAAATTTACAAGGTCATCCACATAATCTAGATAATTTGTTTCTAAGGTAAAACTAACAACACCAGATCTGCTGCTGTAGCTTGAGCATTATAATAAAATGCTTACCTTACAATGGCTTGTAGGGAAGAATCAGCTTTAGAGAATGAAAAGCAAGAAAGTCTCTTGGGATGTGTACAAAGAGAATATGTAGATAAGGAGATGCCAAGTGTTTTGATTTTAATATTATCACATTAGAATGTCTGCCTTTCTGCTCTATGGGGCTAAAAAGAAACTCTTAACTAGGCTTGATTCTCCTAGAAACTAAATGTATTTGGAAACTTTTTTTCCCTGGCAGATGAAAGGAAGCACTCAGGTCAGAAACTTGTCTTCACATCTGGAATGTTAATGAGTGCTTTGCCATTCAAAATCACATGCACACACCTAAGGGTAGAAATAATAGACCACAGACTTGAGGTTATTTTGACAAACTAAGCAGAGCGCTACACATGTTCAAAAACCAAAGTTCTGGGACAGGGTTATCTTACTAAGATTTGAGGACTTGTTTTGTCCAAAGATGTTTTATGAGGACCCTGAAGCACTTTGTTTTGATGGGCTGTGATAAAAGCCAGCAGTTAAATCATTATTGGAATCTAAACTTCTGTGTATGCTGTCAAGATGCCTAGACAAAGATTACCTCACCTGACTCCCATATTACAGATAGGAAAGTGGTGACTCCAAGTTCTCCAGGGTCAGTCCAGATTGAAAACAGCCGTCTAGTTCTAATTTTAAATGTATATATGATGGCCCTAATATCCCTTTCCTGACATTCTGTAGACGAGATTTCTTTCATTTCTGCTTGCTGTCCTCACTTTTTTCCTGAGTGGCCACAATTAACTACAAGACTGAGAGAGAAAGAGAGAGAGAGTTGCTGTTTCAAATTCATTCATTCTCTTGCCAGGACCTAGCAACTCACGCCTATAATCCTAGCGACTCAGGAGGGCTGAGATCTGCAGGCCATGGGTTTGAAATCAGCCCAGGCAGTAAAGTCTGTGAAACTCTTATCTCCAATTAACCAGGGGAAAAAAAAGCCAGAAGTGGAGCTGTGGCTCAAGTAGCAAAGCGCTCGCTTTGAGCATCAAAAGCTCGGGGACGAAGGCAGGCACCTGACTCCTTTGCTTTCCGCCCACCCGGGTAATTGTATTGGGTGGAAGAGTGTGAAGTGCCAACTCGGCCCGGAGCTTGCGCGCCCCCTGGCGTCCAAAGCTGATCACCGGGCGCTTTCAGGTGTGTGAGCCCGGGATGGGAGACTCGGGGAGGGAGGGACGAGGGACCTGGGAACCACCACGTCACCCCCTGGAAGGTAACCTCGGGCGCCCTTCTAGGCTTCCGGGCGCACAGGCTACGCGGCCACCCTCGCGCCGTCGCGAGTTTCCTCCGGATCGCTCTGGGCGCACAGATCTGGCTAGGCGTCGGAGGCGCCGTGGCCTATGTGGTGAAAGCCGGAACACCAGGTTTCTGCGCCTTTTCTTCCCCGCCCCGAGGCCCGGGGCCTGCGCGCCGGGTGCTTGCATTTCAGAAAGCAGCGAGCGCCCCCCGCCCCGGCCCCCAGATCCCGCGCACAGTGGGGGCCCGAGCCCCGGGAAGGGGAAGAACTTGTAATCACTTGCAGCGGGACAATGCCGACTTTTGAACCTCTAACCACTAAGCAAACAACCCTTGTGCTCTTGCTCCACTGTCCAAACAGGGTTTATTGACAGGCGTTTCACAGCAACGCATAGCAACCGCAACCGTGGCTAGGGGCGGGCGTGTGGGCGCGGCCCGGGAGCGGGGCCTCGCTCCCTCTGGCGGCGCCCGGGGGCCGCGGGGGCCGCGGGGATCACCTGGCCCTGAACCGGGAGTCCCCGCCCAGCGGACGCCCACGCCGCTTCCCTCTTCGACGGGCAGCCGTCGACCTTCCCTCCCGCTCCGAAGCCAGGCGCCCGCGGGCGCGGCCCGGAAGCCGCGCGCCTTTCCCAATCCTCGGGCGTCAGACGCCACCCGGAAGGGCCGTGGCGGAATCGGGGGGGTGCTGCAGGAGGCTCGGGGCACCCGGACGCCTCCTGCAATCTCCCAGCCGGATCAGGGTCCTCGGCAGCCCTCCGGGCGCCTCCTTCCACGGTGGAGGTGCTCAGTAGGGGCTAGGGCTCTGCTAGCCCAGTCCCTAGCAATCAGATAATAACCAGCCACCCCACTCTTTGGATCTTACTACACCGATTCTTGAATTCGGGCCTGGGGAGTGGGTGGTGGGGAGGGGGTTGGGATGAGTCCCCGCGAGACAGGGAAAGGCGTGCAGGCAGAAAGCCAGGGCTTTAGGGGAAATGCCCAGTGATTCAGAGGACTGCGTGTATGGGAAATGTCTCCGGGAAGCAGAAACAGGAACTTTACCTCATAGCTGTGTTGAACTCACTGAGTTGTGGGGCATACGTGGGAAGGAGGGGGTCAGGGATGGAGTTTGCTTTGCTCAGGTGGGTTTGATGGGCCTCCTTAATGAGGCTCTTTGCTAGGCCTCCTTTGCTGGGCCTCCGTACTGAGGCTCATTGACCCCCCCCCCCACCTCCTACAATTTCTTGGCAGCTGAGTCCCTCAGTTGTGTATTTCGCCCAGAGGCACCTCTAGGAAAACCACACATTCCACAATTCCAGGCTGGGACTCGGGCTAGGGGGAAGGGAAGGTCTCAGAATCTGCTCCTTCAGGCTCCAGAGGCTAGGGGGAGGGAGAGGGGGGTGTAAAATGAGGCTGCCCACATAACCTTCTCTAGTCTCCTCTCTCGGTTTTTTCTACTACTAGCTTACAAGCAAAGAAGATACTTCCATTTCTTAGATGGGGGGGGGAATAATTCCAGTAAAAAAAAAATCTGAAGATAAATGACAGAATCTGGAACGTTCATTTTTCTTCTTCTTTAGAAAAAAAAAAGTCAACTGTGTTCAAATTCCCCACCCACCCACCCACCCCCTTTCCCTTCACCATATCCTTCTTTCCCTCATGGATCCAGACAGAAGGCTATTAAAAGACCAGTTTGGATGTTACACAGATCGAGGGCGAACAGCAGCAGCAACAACACTCCCCACCACCTCCTTCTCCGTCAGTCCCAAGATTGTGAAAATGACAGGAAGTCCAGGTTGGCTCTGGCATTTATAGCACTGACATAGATTCAGCCCAGAGGAGCTCTGGTGACAGGCTTTCTAAACAAGCCCCTAGGAGGGTGGCTTCCATGTCAGGCCTGGAGTCCACAAACTTCCCCTCACACCACACACACACACACACACACACACACACACACACACACACACACACACACACACACACACACAGGCCAAGCCTTTCCTGGTCTGGGAAAAGAGAAGAAAGACACAGACCACCTGAGGGGTTCTTCAGTCTTTGGACAGCTTTCCTAGCCTAGCTGCCTCTGGCTTCTGCCTTTTAAATCCTGCCTGCCCCAGAGGTAGGAGAGCCAGCTGGTTCTCTCTGGAAGGCAGTGAACAGGAAACAGCCATCTTGATCCAAGTATTGCTGTTCCGGAGTCCATCTCCTCAGATCCAATCAGACGTGCTACCTGTGGATTTTGGAGAAGAGCTGGGAAGAAGAGGAGACTAAAAGCCTGGTCCCTATAGGCAGCCTAGGTAACACTTCTGCCAGTACCAAATCAAGTTCCACTGGTCACTTCCTGTACCCTCCTGGCAGCAAGAGTCAGACTGGAAAAAAAAAAAAAAGTACAAACTCTGGAGGATATCTTTCCCATGAGGCCCCAGTCCCATTTGTCTTTACTCCTAGTCCAGTTTTCAAGCTAGGCTTATTGGTGTACATTTGTGGGTGGGAGAGGACGGGTCTCTTCTGAAGATTCTAGCAAAGTCCATGCACTTCATGGCTCAGCCTGGAATTGCTCTTCTGCCCAGCAGATCACTGGGAGTCACTGGGTGACAGTGGGGTTTAACACACCCCCAGTTGGCCCCAAAACCCCAGGGACAGGGCCAGACACTGAGCCTTGTAGAGAAGACACTGGACTCAGTGGCTCCTGGATGCTTCTCAGGGGCCCGGGCTGCGGCTGGGGAGGCTGTGGCGGAGGTGGTGGGGGCTGCTGCTGCTGCTGTAATTTCTTCTTATTGATTTTCCTTTCTTTTGCTCTGCGGTTCTGAAACCAAATTTTTACCTAGAAGTGGCAACACAGAAGGTGGTAATAGTATGAAAGATAAAAAGACAGTTGTACCCACATCTTCCTTTCCAATGAAAGACACTCCCCCCCAACTCTTCTAGAAGTATTCAATGGTATCTCCCTAACAGCTAATTCTAGGGCATCTCCAAGCTGAGAATCATCTTACTCCTTCCTTGTTCCAGAAGGTTCTTTCCAAGGAACCTTTACTGGAAGTGTAGAAGAGTCCCAGGTCCTCCAGTTCCTCCCTCCGCAGCAGAAGGAGCTCAGTGCTGGCTTCACTTCCTTTTGACAACCTTTGGCCCCTCACAGCTACGCTGAAAAGCAATATTGCTCACCTTGGAGCTGGAAACCAGGTTTAATGTGGAGCTTCAAGCCAGTGAATTTACTCTTGTTTTGTCCTACACTATAGAGTGTTCATGAGCCAAGTTGTAGCCTTCTGTTTTTAATGAGTTAAGATTGGACCTTTATCACTCTTATTTTTCCTGCTGAGCACTAAGAGAATGCATCTATTTTAACAGGGCTTCCTTGGAATTCTGGATTAAAGCAACACTTTCAGCTTTTTCTAGCACCTCCCCAATTCTTTCAAAATAGAAAAAAAAAAGAGTCAGTAACAACAGTAAAGACAATCAGAGGTAAAAGGAACATAAGAAGAAGAAGAAGAAGAAAGCACCATACTATCCAGGCAATGGTAGTTTACCCCCTGTGATCCCAGCTACTCAGGAGACTGAGATCTAAGGGTCACAGTTCAAAGCCAATCTAGGGAGGAAAGTGTATCAGACTCTTATTTCCAATTCACCAGCAAAAAGCCAGAGGAGTGGAGCTATGGTTCAGGTGGTAGAGCTCCAGCCTTCAGCAGAAAAAGCCAAGTGAGAGCCTGAATCTGGGAGTTTAAGCCCCAGTACCAACAGCTCCCTCTCCTCACAGAATGGGGGGAGGGAAGGGAAGGGAAGAGAAAGGAAGGAAAGGAAAGGAAAGTTATATTCAAGGGGCAAATCTTCTCCTGTTCATTTGTCCGCAGAATTAAGCGGACCCTGCCCTTGACTTCCTAATTCTTCCCTCTAGACCTCCCCCAGGCCATAGCCAGGGGGGGTGAGCAAGGCAATTCCCACCTGCCTCTCAGAGAGTCCCAGTGTGGCCGCCAGCTCAGCCTTCCTCCGGATGGTAATGTAGCGACTGTAGTGAAACTCCTTCTCCAGTTCAAGCCGCTGGTGGTCTGTGTACACTACTCGGTATTTGTCTTTCGTCCTGGTTTTCACTGTGGAGGAAGAAGTTTGGGCTGAGAAAAAAAAAAAAAAACAACCTACAAAGTAACCCATCAGTCATAGGTAATGACAAACTTCCCTAACCCACAGGCCATTTCTCTTCCTCTACCACCCTGGGGGGCCAGGGTTTGGCTGGTTCCTGCTAAGTCTGACAAGACCCCAAACACACACACACACACACACACACACACACACACACACACACAAGGAACCTAGGGAGACAGAAGGAGGAAAGCTAAAATAGAGGCCACTAAATTAACCTAAGTGTTTTTTTTAAGAACTCAGAAAAAAAAAAACCTCTTAAATAGAGAAGATAGGCCTCTTCTGTGAACCAAATATAGTACCGGAATGTATTTAGCACTAAGAGCAGGGGCAGGGGACAAGGATAGTAACTAGAGACCTAGGAATACCTAGAAGGGCAGCCCACCCTAACAAGAACAGCTGGAGTTGGGTGTGTTGTGTGGGTGCGGGGGCTACTTTATGCGTTTTACTACAAATGGCAAGAGGGGTGTGGGTTCCCTCAAGTCACCAGAATTACCCCTCCTTCCACACCACATTCCTCCAGTGTTTTCTATGCTGACAGGTGCAAAATCCCTCCTGCTTGAGGATTCAAAAACCAAAACCAAAACCTGGGGAATCAGTTTTGGCCTGGGGCATCTTTTCATTTTTTTTCATTTAATTGGGCTTAAAACAAACACGCACCAAAAAACACCTATCCAGACTAGTGACCTATGATCGTGTGATTAAGAACACTATTAAATCTTGGATTAATTGTTTTATTGAAGGACCTTGACAAATAAATAGCATCGCTGCTGTTGGAGCAGGCCAAGCCTGGGTCTTGTGGGATCTGTCCTAGGTCAGCCCTTGGCTGAGGCCCGTGTCCGCAGGTGTTTTCTCCTGGGACTCTGTCCCACGTCTTGAGTGGTCCAGCAGATAGATGAACAGGTTGAGTAGCCCAGAGCCCCCCAGTACCCTCACCCCCACAGGAAGATCTGAGGAAGTTGGGAGTCGCCTGGAGGTGTTTAATGCCTGGCAGGCCGACTTTGTTCAGGTAAAAACCCTTTGCAAATCACAACAAAAGCGTCCTGGGAAGACACAGGCAGGATCACAGGGCGCTCCCCGCCAGCCTCTGAAAGGGGAACACAGCCACAAACAATGCCGGACAAGGCGATCTTATCAAAGAAAAGCCTTTTCAATGCCTTAATAACAACCGCATTCTGTTTGAATTACCACTACTGAGCAAATGGCGGCCAGGGCTTTCATCCCCCACCCCACCAGGCGCATTAACATAAACACAGCCAGGCAGGCGCATTTGAATGGAGCTGGGGCTCCGACCTCGGGTTGGCCGAGAGAGTGAGGAGAGCTAACGCGCCCCGAGCTCTCTACTCCGTGAGCGAGATCACCCACACCTTTCCCCATGAAATCCACTTGCTGCTGCCCCTGGCACTGTTCCTGGGTCCTGCCGACAGCCTAGGACGGAGCCCAGAGCTGGCCACTGGAGTGTGTGGAACTCGTGGAAGGCACCCTGAGAAGCAGGCGCAGGACAGATCGTCCCCAGAGAGGTGCTCGCCTCGGGGTGCTTTGGATCGGCCTTTACTTGGGTGCTGCCCTTTCAGTATCCTAGACGTACTGGGGCGGGGAGGGGGGGACCTAGGGGTGCCTTAAAACCCTCCCTCCTTAGGAGTTTGGAGGCGCCCCGCACCCTCTGGGAACCAAAGAGGGAGGCTGAAAGGAGGGATGAGAGGGACTTGTCAGAATTCATTATTGACTGCGAAAGTCACCACCCTCTTTCCGGGGCCCTAAAAAGAGACAATGGCTGGGCTGGGGAAGGTGTATATCAAAGCGGGCCAGGCCGCGGACCCTCCTCCCGCCCCCTGACAGATGACGCTCCGCAGAGGAGCCGGGCTCCGGCAGCCTCCGCACATTAACATCACAAGGGCGCCGGGCTCCGACGGCGGCCCTGCCACCCCGGCGGCGCGGGACTTCACAGCATCCTCTCATCTGCTGACCCCGCGGCCGGGGCTCTGGCAGCTCCGAGCCCCTCCCCCCCCAACCTGACCCCGGCCCCGCCACCACTTTCCCCTGACACGCAAAAGGTCTTCTCCAGGCCACCGGCCAACCCCTGCCAAGGGCGCCCCAGGCAGGCAGCATGGAGAGAAGGTTTCGGGGCGCTTTGGGCTGGGAGCGCGTCCGGCTGGGACAGCGATGCTGTCCTGGAAATGGAAACGACCCAACCCGAGCTCGGAGACCCAGCCGAGGCCTTCGGGTCCCACCGGGCCTGCTCCCGGCATGTGCGCAGTGACGCAGATGCCCATGGCCAGAGACAGCTCCCAACCGGCGCTCTGATTTATACGGTTGTAATTGGCTATAAACCTCGGCAGAGTGGTCATAACTTGCACGCCGCCCGAGTGGGCCAGCAAGGGGGAAAGCAAGCGAAGCGGAAGCACTAAGGGCTGGAGTCGTCCTCATGGAATAAAAATAAAAAGGGAACCCCAACAGGGCGCTCCTAGGGCACCTGTACCCCAGTTCCTCCAACCTCCACACACATCCCATGCCAGGGGCGCTGGAGCCCGCGGCTGGCAAACCTAGGGTCTTCACTGAAACATCTAGAGTCTTGCAAACACACAGAGACACAGACAGACAGACACACACACACAGAGGATCTTTGAAAGGAAGGTTCAAGAGAAATGACCCCTCTCTGGAGAAGCAGCTGAACTCGCAGTTTCTTCTCCCTGCCCTTGCCCTCTCGGCAGCTTCTCCCGCGGCTTCTGGACCCCGCAGCCTTCTAGCTTTTGCTTGCCAAGGAAAAAACAAAACATCCTCCTTGACAAACCAAAACCTGCTGGGACCCTCCAGGAGTCCCTCCTCCCTTAGCTCCTTCTCTTCCGCGCCAGCGGGCTCTCTGCTTTCCCCAGTGTCTCTGCTCCTCTGCTGCCTTCCGCCGCGATCCCTTCCTTCCAGAAGCTCCGACGGCCTCACTGGCCTCCAGCACAGCCTCACCCCACCCCCTACCCCATCCTTCAGGTCGCCGCCGTTGGGGGGGGGGCGGCTCAGATGGGGAGGGAGAGCTCGGAAGACAGTGTAGACACGACCTCGGGACAGGGGGCGGGCGGGGGGGGCGCTTGCTTCTCCTCCGCCGCCCGAAGCTGCGCAACGGGTGCGGGCGGAGGGAGGACGTGATGCGCTCCAGGCCCGCAGCGCTTACGCCGACGTAGCCGAGAACTTCCCAACGCGTTCCGGAGGTGGCGAAAGAGAAAGCCCTTCCTCGGCGTTAAACCTCATGAGCCTGGGCGTGAGACACCCCCCCCCACACACACACATATGTTCATTCATGGGAGCGATCACCAGTGAAGCCCCCCCGGGGGGGATGAGCAGAGCCCCCTGAATCTCTCCCTGCGCGCGCCCCGCCCCTCCTGCCTCCGAGGTCGCCGACGGCCCGGGATGCCCCGGTGAGCGGTGGCTGCGGGCAGCGGGCGGCCGCTCGGAGACTTCCCAGGGGCCTCCCGCGGGGCGCGGCCGCCGCTTTTACCTTGGCTCCCGAGGGACGGTTGCGCTGGCTTCCGCATCCACTCGCAAAGGTTCCGCCGCTGGCCGCTGGGGGACAGTTGTTCCGCGGCGGCTGGGGCGGCGGGCCCGGGAGGGCCGGGATTGAGCGACTGCAGCAATCCCGAGGCGCAGGAGGGCGCGGCGGCCGGATGGTGCGGGTGATGGTGCGGGTGGTGGTGAGGATGGTAATCGGCAGGGCTGCTGTAGCCCATGGCTGCGGCCGGGGAGCCCCCATTGAGGCCGTGGGCCACCGCGTTGGCTGCAGCCGCGGCGCCCCCCGGCGCGTAGCCGTTCCAGTCCTCGCGGAGCGGGGCGCCGTACGCAGCCGGCCAGGATGGCCCTGGGGACTGCGCGCTGTCCAAGTTGGCCGCCGCCGCGGCCGCGGCCGCCACGTGGTAACCACCGTAGTCCGGGTACTGCGGGGGGCTGACGAAGTTCTGCGGTGCCAGGTTGAGGCCGCCAGAGTGGCGCACGGAGCTGGGGTACATGCTCACGTCCTTGTCCAGGAGGTAGCTCACGTACATGGTGGCGAGGGACCGACAACACACTTCACCATTGCTGCCTGGGGACGCACGCTGAAGATCGGGGCGGGGTGGGGGGGGACGCGAAGGAATGTAATGGGGGGGTGGAATCAAGAAGCGGAGGGTGGCTGCACCCCAGCCCGCCGGTGCTCCGCTGGCTCCTTGGCTGCGCTTCTGCCTGCGAGGCGGTCCCTCCCTCTGGCCTGCCTCCTCCCTCCCTCTCTTTCTTCCTTCTTTCCTCCCACCTCCTTCCCACTCCGCGGCAGAGGCGGGGAAGACCCGCCACAGGCTGCCGCGCGGAGCCCCGAGCTGGCGGCCTTACGTGATTAACGAGTGTTTACAAGTCTCTATTAGTAATGACACAGACACCAATAGCTGGAGCCGTCGAGGCGCAGCGCGCACCGGCGCACAACCTCTGGAAACACGATTTGCATTTTAAAAGATAAGGGGGTGGGGAGGGGAGCTCGCGAGGAGGCAGTGACTTGATCTCAGCTAAATATTCAAACCTTTATTGTTAGGAGCTTCCTCCTACCAACCTGGGTGCACTTTAACCTCCAATCACAGGTTCAAAGAATGAAATCAAGAGACTTGCAAAAGCCTGGCGGGAGGAGAGAAAGCTATCTTGGTGGGAATCTGGGCTAAGAGACCCGAGTTGTTCTGTGTATGCATTCGAGGGGAAGGGGGCGGTCAAGAACCTTGGGTCCCTAAGGGAGGGGGGGTTGGGGGGGAGAAAAAGAAGAAAGCCATTGCTTTGATGAGGACATTTCTGACCAACCCAGGAGGTGACGACCGGAGCTCTAAGACCAGCGCCGATTGCTTCTCGCTCTGCGCTCGGGGCGGGAGGACAGCCGTCCCCCAAACAACTGACCCCGCTATTCATCTCATTGCTTGCTCAAGGAAATCACTCTCCCTTGGCAGAGAAAAAATAAATATACGACGCTCCAGCTTGAGGCTGCGTCCCTCAATCTATCCTCCAACCTGGATTTGAGTAAAATGAAAGCATTTCATGGGGGGGGGGGAGGAGAAAAAAGAAAAGAAAAAAAAAGAACAGAAAATCTTAACGATAAAACCAAAAAAGCTTGTGACAGAAGTCTAGGCATTGGTGAAGAGGCTGCGGGGGGGGGGGGTCCTTAGACTGTGGATCACTGTGTCTTGTCAGCTAGGAGCTACTTACACTACACAGGCTGTGTTCAGCTTGACAATTCAGGGACCTACACTTGTATGCATATTATACTTAGATGTAAATCTTAAAAGAAATCAAGGAAACAAAATGTCGAATTTCTAATAGCGCTCATAGGGATTTTTGTCTTCCAGCATACCTGTGTCTTTAAAACACTTGCGCCTTTACAGAGTCGAATGTTCTTCAATGGAATTTGCTTTTCATCTCTCGAGGAATGAAAAGGCAACCGGGGGGACTAGTATTAATAGTTGCTCATGTAAAGTTCTGCAAGGGCACAGGCTGAAGACAAAAATGCTTTTGGGTTTTGGAGAGCTGTGGCCAAGGGGTCCAGGATTGGTGGTGCCATTGTGTGGATTGGAATGGTGGAGCCGGGATTGGAAACGACCCCACAGGAGCACAGACTGTGAAATTAGGCTCCTGTTTAAACCCATTTCCACAGTCCTGGGAGGAAGCCTAAACTAACCATTTGCCTCCTCTTTGAGACCCAGTCTGAGTCACCCTGTTCACAAAGAATACCAGATGCCTTACCCCAAGCTGGGCAGCCTGACTTTGTTGCTCACGCTTATGACACAATCCAAGGGAGTTAGCAGTGTACTAGACACTTGCACTTGTACATTCTGATTAACAAGCACATCTCTCCATATCAGTCACCATCCCCTTCATCCTGTCATCTCTGGATCACTTTATCTTTCATCACACATCTCTCAGGATTGGGGACATCAGGTCTTCATTTTACAAGGTGACACCCACTAAGCTGCCCAATGCAGACAGACCAAACATTACCAGAACTAACCTAGGGCTGTCTGGTGCCTTCGATCCTTTGTGTTTTGTAAGTAAGAATTGAGGGGGGGTGTGTCTCTACCAAGAGGTGAGAAGCACCCTAGTTGCTTTTCTATAAGCCCCCCAAGGACCTGGAGGGAAGAGTTAAGTACCATCTCATCTCCCAGGAAATAAAATTGGAAATAAATTGCAAGCTCCATTAAGAGACCCAAATCAATAAGGAAAAGACAAAAGGGGGTGCTCAATGTCTGGGAGGTCACGTGGCGGGCATGGCAAACTTTCGATCCAGCAAACATCTTTCTCCTCTTCCTGAGACACAGTCCCCCTTTCCAACCCATTTCCTTAGAGCCCCCCTCCCAGGCTTGAGCTCTGAAAGCCCAGGCTGTGCTATATAGTCTGGGTCTTTGGAATGCTAGCATTCTTTGAAACAATTGCTTTATTAGGGACAGCCATTCCCTGGGCTCTGTGGTGGCCGCTTCCTGAGTTTTTATGGTCCAGGCTGTCAGCCACTGGCTAATTGTCCCCATTTTCCAGCTGTGTCACTGTGTTCTGCCCAGGAGAAAGGGTTCCAGCCTGCACATTGGCTTGCTTGCAGAGTTGCCATGCCCGGTTGGTCAAAAGGGGCCCCAGAACTGGCTGGACTGAGACTGGTTTGGGGTGCTTGAGCCTGAGAAAGGAAATGATGGTGAAAAACAATTGGTTTTCCTCATTGTAAAAACAGGCCTCCAGGAAGTGAATGAGAGGCAAGAAAGGATAACAGAAGGGGTGAATATGATCAAAGCGCATTATATGACTGTATATCTTAATAAAACCCATTAGTTGCCAGGGCACTGGTGACCCACGCCTGTAATCCTAGCTACTCCAGAGGCTGAGATCTGAGGATCTTGGTTCAAAGCCAATCTGGGTAGGAGATTCTTATCTCTTATTAACCTCCAGAAAACTGGAAGTGGTACTGTGGCTCAAAGTGGTAGAATACTATCCTTGAGCAAAGAGCTCAGGGTCCTGAGTTCAAGTCCCATAACCACACAAAAAAACAACAAACCATTACTTTGTGCACTTAATATAAACAACAACAAAAAGAAAAAAAACAAATCTTCCTGGAAGTAGAGTGAAATGTAGTCTTTACATTCCCATACATACATGCTGTTTGGTAAAGGGAAAGGAAATGGTAAATGATGGAGAATGATGTCTTTAGACAAGCTCCTTAGAGAGGAAGTCTGTCCCTCCATATCTGCCCTCCACTCTGAGCAGAGAAAGGCACTAATTAGGTCCTCCAAAGGGTGTATGGACACTTCTGACCTCCATAGAAGGAGGCATGATCCTAGGTGTCTTTTCACCCGGACAGCCTTGGCAGGTTGGCATATTGGTGGCTCTTGCCTATTCTCTTAAAGCTACCTCTAGACTGAGGCAGTCCTTCCAAGTCCTAAATGGAGGCCCCAGAGCAACCTGCACTATAATCCCAGGCAGGACTTTCCTAGCCTTGAGCCCAGGGTGCATGGCAGTTTTCTCAGAAGCATCTGGCCTGAACTAAGAAGCTCCAGGAGAACCAGGATAGCTATCTCCAATCCCAATGGTGGAAGCTGCCTTCCATACTGCATACCTCTGGATCTCTCACCTTTCTGATTCAGGGCCAGAGAAGCCTGCAGGGTATTACTGCTGTGGGAGAGGCAATATTGTTGGGGTAGGCTCAAGACTGGAATTAGGCTGGGACTACAACTATCTAGAGCCAACTTTTTAAGGACAGGAGAGAGAGGAAAGAAAGAGATTTCATAAAGTGACAGGAAGACTGCAGTGGCTGCCTGACCAGTTATCAAAGGGATGATGTATCTTTGTTACACACAGTATAGAGGCTATCCCACATTCCTTGAAGAGGGTCCAAGCTTCCAGGGTCCTGGCTGCTGGGCTGGGCTGGGACTGGGGAGGGGGGGAAGGGGGGGAAGGAGGCTGCCGGAAGGGGCAGACTGCTCTGGCAGGCAGATGAGACACTCCTTAAATCCATAGATCATTGACACAGCTCCCTCCCTGCTCAAAGGTCCCCAGTGTTTGCTCCAGCTAAGGAGCCCCTGCTCTGCCCAACAGTTGTGAGTCTTGGAAACTGGGGACTCTGTGACCCATCTAACACAGAGAAGGCTGACCTTCCTCCGCTTTAGCATGAAAATCCAATATGTGTGTGTGTGTGTGTGTGTGTGTGTGTGTGTGTGTGTGTGTGTGTGTGTGTGTATGCACGCGCTCATGACTGCAAGTCCTGAGGCTTGAACTCAGGGCCTGGGTATGATATTTGCTTTTTTTGCTCAAAGCTGGGATTCTACACCTTAATCCACAGTTTCACTGTGGCTTTATGGTGGTAATTGGACCTAAGAGTCTCACACAGTGTCTTGCCTGAACTGGCTTTGAACTAAGATGCTCAGATCTCAGCCTTCTCAGTAGCTAGGATTATAGACATGAGAGATATCAGCACCCTGGTGTTTATTTATCCACATAAACAACCCCTCCACAAACCCTCTTATTGCTCCTGGAATCCTCACTCTGATGACAGAGATCTATTCCCAGGATCACTAAGGAAGAGTGAGAAGGAAAACCATGTTTTCTGGTGAAATTATTCAGATTAGTAGTCTATTGGGCTGTGGAAAAAAAAACAACTGTCCAATCACTACTTAATGGGGAGGTTAGGGAATCTTTCAGCCATTCCACTCAATCGGCAATCCACTCACACAAAGAAAGACTCAATAATGGATGAGTTGACCCCAACAACCCTGCCTTGCCACAGCCCACTCAGCTAACATCCCGGGGAGGGAAATCAATACCACTGTCCTTTCTGCCAGGCCTCTCAAGAGTCCACCACCTGTCCAGTCCCTCAGGTCACAATGGAGTCCATCCTGATCAGCTCAGAGGAGCCACACGCAGCTGACCACAGCTGCCCTGGCTTCATTGGCAGAAGCAGATGTGGCCTTGTCTAGTCAGTGAAGAATGTTTTCCTCCCAAGCCCACTGGGAGTTTGACTCTCTAGATCTACCGAAGGAAAGGGAAAAGGTTTCTGAATTCATGGGAAACCATTGTGGACCTTGAGTTTGCCGCCGACGCTGAGATGCGCTAGCACAGAAGGAAACACATCCCTCTCATCCAGGGACTGCCCAGCTTCCTGATCCAAGGCAGGGAATGCCTTTTCTCCCCTGCTTTTGTATCCAAAATACATTCTCACACTCAGGAGGATCAAAGAAAATTATGGGCCTTTGGGGGAGGGGAGATGGGGGCGGAGTAAGGTTTAGGCATAGAAACTGCTTTTGCAGGGCTGGGAAGGTGGCTCAGTGGTAGAGCGCTTGCCTTGCATGCTCGAGGCCCTGGGTTCGATTCCACATAAGCAAAAACAAAAAAGCCGGAAGTGGAGCTGTGGCTCAGGTGGTAGAGCGCTAGCCTTGAGCTG